CGGTTCCTTGAAGGAATGGAACGAAGTACAACACCTTGTTGGCCCCGCATCACAAAAGGCTCGGTGAAGGGCGGTATCTAACTGAGTAATGACGCTGGTGACTCCDAASTTATAGGRTGAAGGCGGAGCCTGTCACCCGACGTTCAACGTCACCAGTCTAATGACGTGATTAGAGGTGGCTTCAACCAGGCGCGCGTGTCCCATTTACAACTGTGTGTTGTACTTCATTCCATTCCTTCAAGGAACCGTGGTTATATTCATAACCTTATGTTTTTAAATGTAGCAACAAAGCTGATAAAACGATCATATTTCACCAACAAGCAGTCAAGCAAGTTACAGTTGAGAACAAATACAGTTTGATTTCCTCACATTCCTTTTTTTAAATTATTATTTTTTGGTCAGAAAGACTTTAAGAAGTTTGGTAAGCAAATATTTTTGCCACCAATCCTGAATTTCATACATGCTACATTAGCACAGGAATAAGCATAAATCAAGAAATCTTAAACAAGGGCAAAACACAAAACAAGTATTGTGTAAGATCTTCATTACAAAAGTCCTCTTTACACAGTCTGTTGCTGCATTTACATCCGTCGTGACTCAGTTCAGTTGAACTAAAAACAACGAAACCCACCCGCTGATGAATAGAGAGCAGTGATGATCTCTTGAAGCTCTTTCCACACTCAGTGCAGCGGTATGGTCTCTCCCCAGTGTGATCCCTCATGTGGTACTTCAGCCCAGAGGAGCCTTTGAAGGCTTTTCCACATTCTGAACAACGATACGGCCTCTCTGTACACAAATATTACGTGTGAAATGTAAAAAAAAAGGAGAAGTGAAGGAAATAAATAAAATAATAAATAAAGCTTTTTAAACAGCATAAAAGGTTGAATAAAAAAAGATCTCAGATTACTAAAAATGCATTGTGACAAACTACTCTGACTCTGCAGACAAAAGTCTGAGGGCCTCAGCTTGATTTATACTAAGCAAGACTGTTAGAATTTCTCATCAAGTATGTGGCGGCCTTAAGAAAATTGTTACCGAACGTGTCATTGCTGAACATTAGGTGTGTTTGAATCACAAAAAAAATCCTCTTTGGATTTGGACACTTTGGAAAAAGGCAACAAGTCCTTTGAACAACCCAAATCAATTAAACACAGATTGTCAGCTTGGAAGAATCTGTCAAACGAAACCAAGGTTTTGCTTTGATTCAATCCCCTACAGAATTTCACAATTACTATGATCATCAGAGGCAGATCCATTTTCTCTTTTTTTTCTCTAAGCATCACAGAAACTGCACAGCTGTGGTTAATGGATGTTTTTCTGCACCATGTCCTTCATCATACTTCAGTTTTGGAGTTAATCTAGCACACATGATTGGTGAGAAATGGGAGCTGGGTTCAGACTGTTGTGAGGCAGGTTGACCCTGTTGAGGATGTGTTGTTGGATTGGCTGAAATATCTGGTTGGAGTCCAGAAACCGGCTGAATGCTGGAGCAGTGTATCAACTTAATGTTCTGTTTAGAAAGCAAATGCAAACAAATAAAATGTTCTGATTGTTTTAGGGAGCTCCTAAGAGAGCCTTTAGATCTGTTTAGTCTGAATCCATTTATTGTAAAATTGTGTGTCTGATTTCCATTTTTAGAAATACAAATGGATTTTAAATTTTTTCTTATTTTATTTTTTACCTCCAGCGGGCGTGCTCTTGCTGGTTCCTGCCTTTTTTTGAGCTTTGGTTGGTTTGGGCGGCTGTTCCTCTTGCTCCTCGCCGACGGTGATGATGTTGACTTGGATTTCTCTCTGGCCATCCTGATGCTTGTCGGCCTGGCTGGGAGAGGAGGGCAATGGGAGAGACAGGGAAAGGGACGGAGGACACACTATCTCAGCCTCCGCCTCGGCCAGGAGGCGCTGCTCCGGGGTGTGGGAGTGTTGGTGGGTGAGGAGTGACGAGAGAAGGGGGAAAGAGCGGTCGCAGGCGGAGCAGCTGAACTGGGAGCGGCACTGCGTTGAAAGAGAGTGCATCTGGGGAAACAAGAAGGAAACCATGAGATAAAGTTTATAGAGAAACATTAGTCCTGTTTGTTTGATATAGAGTGCAGTAATTCTGACCAGTGAAACATGTCTATTGAGGCCTCCGCTTGTCTTGAAGGTCTTACTGCAGTAGCCACATGACAGCCCTGCCCATGTGGTTCTGGCCTCTGGCTGAATAGGCTCAGAGCTCTGAGTCACCTCTGTGAAGCGCTGAAGCAGGTCAAACTGGGCCTGGGTGGTGTCCACATTCTGAGGATAAACCAAAGGAAATTATAGAAAGTAATATATTTCAAAAACATAGACCTTCAGCTTGAACTCATTACTGCATTGTTAGATTTGTGTTGACCCACTGAAATAACTGTCAAAACATTTTCTTTTTATTTTGATTCTAAAGAGCCCTTTTCTTTTCTTGTCCTTTTTTTAAGTTATCAAATGTTTTTCAGGTTTTCCAAAGTTCACTTCTTTTGTCCAACACTGACAGTTGCAGCTGTAATAACTAATTTTCTTTGGGGATCAATAAGGCTTTCTGATTGGCCACTTTCATAAAACGGGACTGAAAGAATAAAATAGCAATCGAAGTCTAGAGACAAACGTTGAGGAAATTGAAAGAACCTACGATCAAGAATATTAGGTGGTGGAGATATCCCTCTTTTTCAGATTTAAATCATTTAGTTGGTGTCTTTATAAAGTGGAACTGCAATGCTTTTATCTGAGTTCCTCCTTATTCTAACTCCACAAGCCCCTCTTTCACCCCTTTTCAGAGCTATGTCTCAGATCAACTCGTTTTGAAGCAGTCCCTTTAAATCCAAACGAGGCGCCTCAGACCCCGCCCCCTCCAGCTTCCAGAGCCGTTCATTCTAGTTTGATAGACACACAAACTTTTTATTTAAAAATCAATTAAAAGATTTAAACAAGGGAAGACTTCCACATACTCAGGCGGACTCGAAGCGGCCGTCCGTCGGGACTGGTCCCCGCAGAGATCGATTTTTTACAACCTTGTCCGCGGTGTCGCACAATAAACTGCTTGGCGGGTACTGTTTTGGAGCTGACAAAGTTTTGAATCGGTGTCAGTTGTGGACGAAATGGAGTCAAATTTTTGAAGAGCGTCTCATGGAGATTAGAAAACTTTATGATGCGTCAATGAAGGAATCTAAAGACTTTCAGAGAGCAACAAATTTGTGGGAGGAAATAGCTCAGATCCTGGGTAAGGAAGTTCTTTTCTTTTTTCTTTTGTTGTTTTAAAGCTAAAATGCAAACTCTCTCTTCCTCCTCATCCTTGACCTCATGACTGAAATTGCGAGAAATTTAAGAATTTGTCAGGTGGTCAGCACGCTCGAGCATGAAGTCTCAAACATCCGCGGACAATATGCGCAGAGTCCGCGCAGGCCGGACCGCAAACAGTACGCCAGAGTCTGACCCAGCCAGAGGAGAACAACCAAATAGTAGTTGGTAAGTCCTCCAGACCTTATTTGGCAGTTTTGCTGCAAATTCTGACATAATGGTTCGAAAACAACATAGAGAATAGAGAAAACTGAACTGGTTGAAAAATATGACCCAAATAAACGATAAAGATATCTACGCAGCACCGGCAGAGACTACATTTAACTTTTCTGAACGAGACTACAAGTACACAACAAAATGTGCATATTTCCTTTTGAAAATTTTTGCACGGCACTGTAGAAACTACAACATATCATATTTTTATATATAGTTGTTTTAGTTGTTTCTCAATTTCATAAATGCTAATTATAAATTTCTAACATGTCTTTTTATGAATGTGAAGGTTGTAATTTGAAAGTGATGTTACACATGTTCCTGATCTTAAACGTGTTAAGTGCTGAGATTGTGGTTTTATTTTTATTTAGGTATTGTCTTGAAGAGTAGAGTGGTGAATTTCCCACTTACAGTACTGCTACCATCTGCTCCTTCTGTCAAACCAAGGAGCACCTCGGCTGTGTGTCCACTTTCAGCCACAGTGGTAGTCTCCACCACCTCCTCAAAATCAGCTAGCAGGTGTCCAGCTCCCACGAGCCCGTCCCCAACCTCCATCTCTGCCCCCTGTCCTGCCTCTCCAGTGACCCCGTGTTCCTCTGGAGCCATGTGGATGGCCAGGTGCTCCTCCAGGTCTGTCCGTGTGCCGAAAGTGTGGCTGCAGCTGCCACAGGTGTACAGCAGCACGCTGGCCCCGGTGTCAGTGCTCAGGTGAACCTCCGTCCCGATGGCCCGAGCCGTGCATACGTCCCCCCCAGAGGGAGTGAGAGTGAGCTGAGGGAGGAGGTCTGGATTCTGACCAGAAGAAGTGGTCGACAAGAACACTTCTTCCATCCCCACGCCAACTCCATCAGTTCCTTCCTGGCTCACAAACCCCACCATGTCTGTCAGCATCGCTGATGCAACTTCCTCTGACCCAACCACCACCTCCACTACCTTATTTCTCTTCCGTCCATCCTCTCCCCTTTTGTCCTCCTTGGCACCTGTGTTAAGGTTCGAGTGAGAGTTCTTGTGCAGCGCCAGGTTTGATGAATGCGTGAAGCTCCGTCCACACTCACTGCAGACGTACGGCCTCTCGCCCGTGTGTATCCTCATGTGCTGCCTCAGGTTGGTAGACTGCGTGAAGGACTTGTTGCACACCGAGCACGAGTAAGGCTTCAGGCCAAGATGGACATTCTTGTGTCGTCTCAGGCTGCTCGAGTTCTTGAAAGCCTTTGGACAAGTGTCACAAGGGTACGGGCACTCTCCGGTGTGCTGACGCAGGTGATACTGGTAGTGAGAGCTCCATTTGAAAGTCAGGGGGCAATAGGGGCACAAGAAAGTACGTAGTCCAGTGTGAACACTCTGATGGACCTGAGGACAGACAGAAATAGGTAAACCTGTCCCTCATCACCCCTCCCTTTTAAAAATGCCTTGGTTTGATTTCTCACCTGTAGGAGAGATGAGCGTTTGAAGGCTTTGCCACAGTCCTGACATTTATATGGCTTTTCTCCTGAGTGTGACCTGCAAAATAAAAAATAACCATTTAGGAATATAATATAAACCTTATCTGACAATTATTTGAAAAATTTGGAAAAAGAACAAACAGAAATGGGATTTTGTTAAAAAAAAAAGCATTAAATCTAGCTTTTACAACTGTTATGAATCTCGCATTATTTTCCAGAATTTTTGCAAAACACAAATTTCAAATAGAAGATAGAGTATAAAACTCTAATGTCTTTTAATGGATTATCACCTGCTGCTGATGGCAAACGTGATAATAAAATTGCTTGTTTTTACTTTCTAAAGCGGTCAAGGCAGAAACGGAGGTGAAACGCCAACAAAAACAAAGTGATGAGGGAGGACATCTGTTTAAATGGAAGGGTTATGCAATCACAATTTTCATGTTTACCATGTTTGACAGATCATACAAGTTTAGAATCTGACCCTTCTTTTGCCCTAGTGACGTTTAAAGCACAAACTACTATTAACCATTTAGAATAGTGTTATGTAAGTTTTAAAGAGGGTGTATTAACATCGGTACCGTTGGTGGTAGAGCAGAGCGGAGGAGCCTTTGAAGGCCTTGGGGCAGAGGGTGCAGCGGTAGGGTCTCTCGTTGTTGTGGCTCCTCTGGTGGTGGGTCAGCCTGGACGACCACCTGAAGCTCTTCCCACAGTCCAGACACTGGAAGGGATGTTCCGACTGTTCTGACAGCTGAGCCGACGAAGACGAGGTCACCATGTCCAGAACCACCTCCTCTCCACCTTCCTCTACCCCCTTGTCTTCTTCTTCCAACACCTCTCCTCCCTCCCTGTCCTCCTCGCCATCCTCTCCAGAACCAAGAAGGGATGGGAAGGAGGAGAGTGGGGGAGCGGACTGGGGAGGTAAGAGTTCTGCTTGGACCACCAGGGCCACGGAGTTAGCCATCACCAGATCAGTTTGCTGGCAGATGAAAGTGTTTCCTTGAAAGCAAGTGGGGGGGATCAGTTTTGGTGCAGTCTCATAGTTTGTATTTCACCCTTCCTTCGTTCATGCTTTCTTCTGTGACTAACGAACTTCCACTTTTGGTAACTGCAGTTGACATCCCAAAGTAGTGAGACAGGTCTGTTGTGAAGTCAAATGGAAATAAACACGGTGTTGTAAGTTCTGATAAGAATGTCCCTTTAAATTCTTCACCCTCCCTCTTCTTGTGCCTGAAGCCGAGACGGTCCTCCCCCTCTGGTCGTGAGCTCCCCGTCCGTCCCCGCAGTGCAGTGTCTGATAATCCTCACACACAGGAAAACAGCTACAACACACAATAAAACACGGTTAGGTTATAAACTCTGTCTTATACTAGTCGATGTTGCAAGTCAGCAAAAAGGACATAAGAATATGATTTTCACAGTAAAAGCAGTCACAGTGGCCTGCTTTTTTAAAGCTAACGAAGCACTTCTTCAAGCAACATAACTTCGTTAAATTGCTCGCTAGTTAAGCGAACACGAGCCGAACCGGTACTCACCGAGCAATTTTAACTCATCTTCTGGTTTATCTTGTAATAAATGTTGCAGTAAGAAACTGGATACTGCAGTGCAAATCCACACAACCTTAACAATAAACACAGCGGCGCAAACTAACAGCAGTCCACCACCCTTCCAAGAACCGTGAAGGTGATTGGCCGCGAGGTCGGAACGAAGAGTGACTGTGATTGGCCAGGAGGTTTAACAGACAGATAAACATGCATAAACTTCACATAAATTAACGATACAGCACTTATTTGATAGAAATACGTTTTACAAGTGCATACAAACTAACATCAACAGTATTTTTGGTTGAAAATGATGCTTTACTTACAAAGATGTCTCATGTACTGCTTAGACTTCTGGGTAGTGTAGTACTTCCATGGTTCTCCAGCACTCAGGTCAGTTTATGTTGTAGGTTAGATCAGGGGTTCTTAACCTTTTTGACCTCGGGGCCCAATTTGTTCAACATAAACTGACACGAGGCCCAGTCACACATTATCATGCGGATCAAAATGATAATTATTCTAAATCTTGGTTTAAAATTATAATTATTAAATATCTAGGTTTAATTTGTACTTGCATTACAACTAAATAAAATACACTTACAGTTTAAAAATAAAACTCCTGTCAAATAACCACAAGCCATGATTATGACATACATTTTTTTATATTGTAATCTGCCCATAACAATTATTTGAACAAATACAACAGTCAGTCAACAGACCACTCAGGCTTATCAACAAAAATAACCCATCTATCTATTTTCTGTACACGCTTCTTCTTCTCAGGTTCACATTGGTCTGTGGTGCCCATATCCAGCAGTCACAGTGTGAGGGGCAAGGTACACCCTGGACAGGTCACAAGTCCATCACAGACAAAAATAACATTTTTTAACATAAATGACAACAAAAATAGACAAGTCAATAAATAAAATTGTGATCATAAAATAAATACATTCATGAATATTTAATGTAAATGTTCCAAATAAAAAACTGTAAAATTAAATTTGATAAAGTGCAAATGAAAATAAAGCCTTTTTAAACTTTTGCATGGTAGAACCAGAAGCTGCTTTCCATATTAGTGACAAACAATAACAGTAACAACAGCTTTTTGACAAAATGCTTAAAAATAAATTACAAAAATTAATTTGATAAAGTGCAAATTAACATATAGTTGTATCTGCAACTGTATTTGATAATGTTTTGAACTTTTAAAATATTACATGGTAGAACCAGAAGCTGCACTTCATATTAGT